TACTATTTTCATGCTCTTCTGTCTAAAATTGGCATCATATTAGTTTTCTAAATCTTGATAGTAACACCCATACTAAAAAAAACATATTAATTAGCATAACGAATTTTTTTTGAAACCATCATCAATTCTTTGTAGATTTTGATTTACATAAATTTTACAAATCAATATCATTCACAAGGTTTTTTACATTGTATTAATTAATTTATAATTATTAATTCACTATTCAAGTCATAAAAGCTTAGCCTTTGCAATGTGCTTAAACTATACGTTGTTTCTTAAGAAAAAAAAAACTGAAAAAGCTTGCCACACAAAAAAATCGAAGGAAAAAGGTTTGAAAAAATTTAACTTTCTTGGTCTGAAATCATGTGAGTGTTCTCAATTGTCAGTTTCGTTAGGATTTTATAGATAGTTTTGGTGCAGTATTTATAGTATTATATATAGGTTATCCCTGTTCCAATCCATATCTATCTGGGCTTTTGCAAAGTTGCATCAGAAATAGTGTATAATTACCATTATATGATGAATAGTGTTTTACACAAATACATTCAAAGTGAGATTATTAGTTCATAATATCTATATTCATACATTGTATGATTTTCTGACCGGTTTGCGCATGGGTGTTACTATCAAGATTTAGAAAACTAATATGATGCCAATTTTAGACAGAAGAGCATGAAAATAGTACAAGATGAGTATAAGGTTAATCTATCGTTCTAAATCGATGTTCTTGTATGGATAAACTACAAAAAAAAACAATGATATGAAATTTAGTAATAACACGGTTTTATGAAATAATGAGAACTTTGTATTCAGAAATTTGAGTAATTGGAAAATTCTAGAAAAAGCTCAGATCTAATATTTTTGAAAGAAGACATGTTTATAAAGCAATATGAAAAAAACTAGAATAATTATATTTAATAAAGTATTTATAAGAAAGCATTAAACAATATATTATAAAGCTTCAGAAAATAGCAAATATCAATATATATACAAAGTATACATAGATATATATACAGTATAGTATATATATATTAGTAGATTTTTAGCAACTAGCGATATTTTTACCACTTCTTGATGGTACACGCATATTTTTTGTAAGATTGTCCAAGTTTTTTACTTGGGCAATATTTTTTCCCCTCCAATAGATTTTAAAAGTTTCACAAACGAAATTTCCTAATATACTTAACGTTCCACATCTTCAGAGCTCTGCTTGGTTTGTTCCTGATATATAATGTTTTAAAAGAATTACTACTACATTTCCGTAATAAATTTTTTGACATCTTCATTTGTTAATGGTGATACTATGCCTTCTCTAAAAGTTAAAACTCTTAAAGTAAATTTTTTATTTATTTCTTTATTTATTTTATTTTTTTTTACATTTCACGCGTTTCCTTAAGATTTTAGTAAGATCTATTACCAATTGATTAAATTTGTATCAAAAATCACTCAGAGCTTTCTTGGTTTTGCTTTGTACTTCTATCCCTTCTTTAGAATAAGGTGAATACCCAAAGATCTTCTTAACAAATTCATCAATAATCAGTGGTGATGGGTTCCTTATTCTAAGAAAAAGGCATTTTATCTCTTCATCTCACAAACATGCATTATCCTAGAAGAAAAAATTTTATTACTGATCTTTTAGAATAAAAGGTTTAATATTAACATGTTATGTATATATGTTATATATTACCTTATTGTTGAATGAACTCACAGAACTAACAGGTAAAAAACTTAAAACGTCATTAAAGTTGGTGTCAGCATCAATTGATATTGACAACGCAGTATACATTTATTAGCTAACCACAGTATATGTGGGTGTTTTACAAGCCAACTGCATATTTCCAAGATATTATCCATTTTACTAAAATCTAAAGGAGTTTGTTCTACCCGTTGATTATCTGTTGTTTGAATTAATTTTAACCTTATTAATTATATAAGTATGTATGTACTGTATGTACATGTATACTTACGTACCTGGCAATCTTTCATTTTCGGGCAGTCTTTCAGATTTTGATAATATTTCAGTTTTTTGTAACTTCTCAATATCACTATGTCCTTTACTTGAAATAGCTAATGAAATTTTAAACATGTAAAACGATAACGATAATGATAATAGTAATTATACAAATACATATATAATATACACTAACAATTTGACATAGCGTTATCAAAATAAACATTGTTAAGTAATAGTCATTGTAAGATATTTGTTGAAGCTTCTCCAATTTCATCTTCAGAGATCGCTTCGTATGCTTGAAGGGATATTTCTCTTACATTATCTCTTTTTGGCAAAGTGGATTTTGGAGGTCGACCTAATAAAAAAAAAATAAGCAATTTTAAAAGCTTGTATTTCATTTTAATTTCTTTATCCTCATATTTCGTTTTCTTTCTGAAGCACTTTGTAGCCTTCTAATCGATTTAACTACATCAGATTCAATTTTATCATTCACATGAAATGATCCTCCACGTTTATTATCCTTTTTTGCAAGCTTTGCAAGATGTTCTCATTTTGGTTTTGATAAAGGCATTTTTTGCATTTTTGAAATTTTAAAGCTAATATAAAAAAAATCAAATGATTTTTTAAGCAAATATTTAAATTCAACTACTTATTTATATGATTAAAAAAAAATGTTATATGAAATCTTTTCTGTGTAAATTACAGTATGTTTTGCTAATAGTTTTTATGATAGGCTTTTGATTAATAAAATTTAACTTCCTACTATAAAATTCATCAATTGAATAAATTTATTTTCTTTATTGCAAACTTATATTTTTTTTTAGTGCTTTAATTTTTTTCGAATTTATTTTGTGGATACTTAAAGTCTTTTTCTAACATTCACACCATCACTTTATAGTTTTTTATTCATCTGTTATTCTATAGCATAAAATCTTAGTTCTTTTCGCTTTTCATTTTCTTTTTTGTAACTAATATAAAGTCCATATTTTTACATTATCTTATAGATACTAATATGATAAGAAATAAATTTGGATTTAAAAATTATGAAAAGACAGTTTATATAAGACAACAATTTTCTTATAACAATAATTCATTTAATTCTTCTGTATGATATCTTAACAGTCTATTATTCAGAAATGAAGAAAAAACAAGTTTTTCTAAAGAATTGACTTTTTCTGATAGAAATGTTAGTGATAATTATGATTGTGCTGAAAGTTCATATTTATATGAAGAGACTGATGAGGATTCAAGTTTTCTTGAGGATGATTTTTCTGAAGATCCAACTAATATGAATTCTTCTGAAAATTCATTTTTTTCTGATGGAGTTAATAAAAGGTCAGAAGATCACTGTAATCTAAAATATTTAGCTGGCGAAGATTCTATATTTTATGAAGAGATTGTGGATAAGCCTTTAGACCCTTGCAAGATGTCTCAAAATACTGGAGATTTCTTATTATATTTCGAAAACTTGACTACGATGCTGTTATTTTGCTAGATGCAAAAACATAATATTTGTAAGATTTATCTTTTTTTTTGAGGTTTATTTAATTCTTCATAATAAATAATTCGATATTTAGCAATCAGCATATACAATGACCTTGCTGATATAACAAAGCATCCACAATTCAACCTTGCTCACATGATTAAAAATGTGCGGTGGTTCTGACTTTGAAGACAAAATCTTCCTATTATACCAATATATTCAAGACCCATTGAAATTTCAATTAATAAAACCTTTTTAAACTCCAAAAGTTTAAAAAAACTCTTATTACTTATTTATTAAAGACATTATTTGGAGTATATTAAACAACCCTTCCCTAATAAAACATATATACTTCAGGCCTGGGCAAGAAGTTATTAAAAAAACAGAGTATTGGCATGGTAATTTATGGGCTGAATCTCCATTGTTTGGTCAAGAGTCAGTCACTATCAATGAAGGTTAAATTTTTTTTATTTGGTTGTATGAATTGGCAGTAGTAATTAATTTTAACCTTTATAGAAACATATTATACAGGTGATTTTATCTATTATCGAGAAATTACTCATCAGAGATTAGGACGAATCCGAGCAATTATCTTATCAGATAATATTTTAAAATTAAAGGTTCAAAAAGCTATTGAATATCATGATCTTCCTAAGAACCTTTACAGTAAAGATAGACAACTTTGCACTTAGTTGGGTGAAGTATGGTTATTAGATCAGTCCTTTGGTATTGAAATGATAGAGCTAAATAAAGTTATTAGCCATGCCAGCATAACTATTTTATCAAATAAAAATCAAAAGTTTACACATAATATTCAAGAAATTATATATAAGCTCAAAGGTCATTGGAAATTTAGAAATATATTATTGCAGTACCAACATCCTTCTGAATATACCAAAATTTCTTCATCACCAAGCCGTAATATACCAGTTATTAAGTTATTTATAGACCTTTATTTTGATAACTTTGGAACTTTTCGGACGTTTACCATTCACTTGGTGGCGTTTATGTTCAATTCGGAAATATGCCAATGTTTCTGCGAAAATTGTCAAAAAATCATTTTATATTAGGGTTTGTGCCTTTCAGTGGAAGTTATAATAATTTTATTCAACCTTTTATTATGGATATGAAGTCTCTAGAGTATGGACAAATTATGAACGTGAGGACTCTTTCTGCTCATCATCTGTATACAAAATTTTGTCACAATAATTTTTATGTTTTTCTTAATTTACAGAAACTTTTATTAAGTTAACAACCTTTTGTCTCTTAATAACATTTGTTTAGCTACTGTTTATACATATATCTGTAAAGTTTCAAGTCTGTATCTCTCAACGTTCTTGAGATATTCAATTTACAAGAATAGACGAACAAAACTCTGTTCTCTCCCCAAAGTTTTGCTGCTCCTTGCAAATTAGGCTTAATAATATACTGATACCTCATACTTGAATTTGCAGAGCTCATCTCTGGTTTCAAAACAAGCTATAGTACATCAAATTTGACCTAAAATTGATCATTTTAGAATCGAAAATATCAAAACTCCCTTTT